AGCAACCAAAGTGTGGCAGCAGGTCAGTTGAAATGTTCTCTAAAGTGATCTGCCTGTCAGTCAAATTTTCTATATTGTGAGTGAATAAAAATCCCATCGTTTTGTGAGAAAGTCTAGCTAACAGTCGCATTTCTAGTATGTCTAAACAGTTATCTACTGTTACCAACTTATTGATGCCTCTCTTTGGCTCTTGCTGCATGCTACTGCTCGTGATCATTATTTAAGCTTTCTCCGCTCCTGATCGTATCCAGAGCCAGAAAAGATGAGTTTCTGAGCGTCTATCAGTTCAAAAGATGCTACTGAAATCCGGTTTTGGTTTACCTTGCTGGCAGAAATCTCTGCTGTTTCCAAAACTATTTGAATATCGTTCCAATATGCCTCAGGTTGAGCATCAGTTACATGACTGTCTAACTGTTTTTTATAGCTGTGCTTGAAATTTTGCTCATGGCTCGTTCAATAGAACCCTTTGAGGCTTTTTTGCAGTGTCCTTCCTACGTCCAGAAAGACGCGGACAAATACATGCTCGCACTAGAGCATGATCTTAATCTAAGCATGTGCTCCAGAGCAAGTGGCAGTCTTCTATCGATCCTCTCCATCGGTGGCTGATAGCAATGTCAGTCATCCAGATGACGCAGAACTTCGTACGTAAGTACATCAATTCATGTCGCCATACCACATTAGCACAGAGATGTAATTGTCAATTCAAATCCATTAGTAGTAGAGGTAGTAAAGGTATTAGAAGTAATCGGAGAGGTTAGGATTAGAAGATATTATTCAAGAAGTATGATTCAGTGAGATAAGTTTAGAAAGACAAAACTAGAGGTGTTGAAGAATCCAGAAGATTAGGATTTGAGAGAACACAAAGAATAAATGCACCGGCGCCTTCGCAAACGGTTTTGAGCCATGTCATTTAGGGTCTCTAATCATCGATCATTATCATCTCGCGGACCCCAACCAGGTAGTCGATAACTACCGACATGACTCAGTCTGCTTGTCAGTGACTTCATGGATTTCTGCCATGTTTTAGTCTGGCCTCCCCTAACTTTCTTCCAACCTACTTCTACAATACAAAACAAAACTCTTCGAGGCAGTCGGTGGTTAGTGATAGCAATGTGATCTAGTTGGGTCCAGCGTTGAGTTGACTTTGGGGATCGCCATGCCGACAGATGTTTTTACCTAATGCTTAAAGTTGGTATTTGCCGGAAACAGAATAGTTGCAGGAGACAGTCACCATTATCTGTTCGATGAGCCGCGTAAGATTCACCCGGTTGTCTTTACGTTCCGTTTGATCTACCTACTTGAGCATTAAAGTCAACCGCCACTATTACTACATCAGAGCGCCTAACATTTTGGAGGAAGTCCGAAAGATTTCTGCAAAGTTCACCTGTTACCTCGTCTGAACCGCAGTCAGTGGGCGCGTAGGCAGTGACACTGAAGAGGCAAAGGTATCTGTCCATATCTTTCTTAGCGACTATCTGCTAGGATCCAGTCTAAGAGAGTTAGTTCAGCCTTAGAACTCAATGCTGTACGTACAGTAGCGAGAACATGGGAACAACAGAGAGGATTTCAGAAACGCAAAGCATATTCTCGATCTTGACGAGGAGAGGTCAAATAAGTGATTCTACTCAGATCCTGAGTACGCTTTACGGAGACGCAGCGTATATTGATGACGCACAATTCTAAAGTCCTAACCAATGAAGCTTGTCTTATTTGGCACTAGGTCCGGACATTAAAAGCACCAACATGTAATTTATAGTGGGCTTTCAAGAGACCAGAAATAACGTTTCGTGTAGTTGAATCGTTTGTTTTGGCGGCGCGTGGTGTTAAAGGGACGTGAGGAGTGTTAGTTGTGGACATAAGGGAGTTGTTAGGAATAGCAGGAAGGATTTGATTTTAACTAATTCGGTCTCGTGTGATGTTTAGGGGATGAAGGTGGATGTCGCTTCCCGGCTGCCCATATCGCAAAAGGGTATTATTCGAGGAACCTGAGAGTCACATCGGCCTTAGCGACCTGGGAGCGTAATCACAGAGCCCAAGAGACGACTGCTTATGGTTGGTCACGCACAGCTCTTTCAATGAAAGTTTTTAACTTGTTGGCTCCGCTCTTCAAAAGGCCTTACTGCCGGAGACGGATGTCCTAGGGAAAGGTGAGGGTTGACCTTTGGGAACCGCTTCTTTCTGTTGTGACTAGGCAGCATAACTAGATGTTTATTGTCTGAGGGAAACAACTCACTGTTGTCAAACACCCCTACAGTCAGTAGTACGACTTCACCCTCAGATCTTCAGTTGCTGCCTTTAGTCTTATCGTTCTCCAACTGACCTGCCTGTCAGGACATAAAGGAACATACTTTCCAGCCAATATAGTTCGGTTCGGTTATCATGATAGGCGAGCCCAACGACCACGTCAAGGTAGCATCTACAGTCTGGATGTCATAGCTTCATATGAATCTATCTATGAACAATATACCCTAACTGGTGTTTTGTAAACCAAAGTCTATCGAAAACAATTTTAATAAGCAACCCTTCTCCATCTTATATATAGATGTACATGCTACTGATTAAAAAATAGTCACGAAACAATATGTAGTAAATGTAATGTACATATATATATATACATATATATTTATATATATATATTAGTAATGTTTACCATTCCGTAGGTTTTTGCTATTAAATCAACAGAAGTATAACTTGGTGAGTACAATGGTTTGAGACCACCTTTGATTAAAAAAGTAGTTCATATAACTATTTCAGTCAGTCAGATGCAACGTAGAACTTCGTACGTAAGTTCATCAGTTCATGTTGCCATACCACATCAGCACAGAGATATAATTGTCAATTCAAATCCAATAGTAGTAGAGGTAGTAAGGGAATTAGAAGTAATCGGAGAGGTTAGGGTAAGAAGATACTATTCAAGAAGTATGATTCAGTGAGAAAAGTTTAGAGAGTCGAAACTAGTGTTGAAGAATCCAGAAGATTAGGGTTTGAGAACGATTTTGAGCCATGTCATTCAAGGTCTCTAACCATCGATTATCATCTCGCGGACCCCAACCAGGTAGTCGACAATTACCGACATGGCTAAGTCCACTCGTCAATGACTTCATGGATTTCTGCCATGTTTTGGTTTGGCCGCCCCTAACTTTCTTCCAACCTATTCCTACACTACAAAACAAAGCTCGACGAAGCAGTCGGTGGTTCGGCATACGCAACACATGTCCCAACCACCTCAACTGATGACGTTTCACCACTTCATCGATTGATCTGCCATCCTTGCCTAGTACTCGTTTCCTAACGACAGCATTGCTTACTCGGTTGTCCCACGGTATACGAGCAATGCTTCGGAGACATCTATGATCGAAAACCAGTAACCTACGAATATCTTCTACTCTCACTGGTCATGTTTCACAGCCATATAGGAGAACGGAGCGAACTGCTGCACAGTACACTCGTCCTTTGATTAGAGAACGGATATCACGCCTACGCCATAAGTGACGCAGGTTGGCAAAAGCCAATCGAGCCTTCTGTATCCGAGCTGAGATTTCGTCAGTCACCAGGTCATCGGCACTGATGAGACTCCCAAGATAAGTGAAGCGGTTTACACGCTCGACTACTTCACTCCCTATCACTAGTTCAGGTGCCGATGCAACCCAATCTTGAAGCAACATTTTGCATTTCGAGGGGGAAAACCGCATACCGAACATGCTTGCATTGTTGCTTAGGGTAGTCAGAAGACTCTGCATTTTGTCAGCATCTTCACCAAGTAGGACAATGTCATCGGCATATTCTAAGTCAATAAGCGAGCCACCTGGTAGAAGGTCTACTCCTGCAAATTCAGACGAGGATAAGGTTATTTCTAGCAGCATGTCAATGATAAAATTAAACAAAAATGGAGAGAGTGGACAGCCCTGACGGACACCACTTGAAGTAGAGAATTCCGGTGACAGTTCGCCATAAGCCCTCACTCGACCTGTAGTGTTCGAGTAAAGGGCTTGTATAAGGTTAATGTACTTCTTTGGTACACCTTTCAATGACAGACACTGCCACAGAACCTCACGATCCACAGAGTCAAATGCCGCCTTAAGGTCCAGGAAAACAACTATTGTAGGACGCTTAAATGTGTGTCTATGTTACAGGACCTGTCGTAGTGTGAAGACGTGGTCTATACAACCACGTCCAGGTCTGAAACCAGCCTGGTTTTCTCTAATCTGCTCTTCACGATCTCTAGTTAGGCGTCGAAGTATTATTGCGGCCAATATTTTAGAAACTATATTAGTTAGACTTATTCCCCTGTGATTGTCACAAGAAGACTTTTGTCCTTTCTTATAGATTGGGACAATCAGTGATTGAGACCAGTCGGATGGGATTACGTACAGTTTCCAGATTCTACCTAAGATCTCTGTCAACCTAGCTGCTAAAACTGGACCACCATCCTTACATATCTCAGGGGTCAATCTATCAGGACTTGCAGCTCGTCCTCGCTTCAGATTTCCTAACGCTTTTTCAACTTCACTAAGAATTGGGGGACTTACGTCGACTTGCCATTCAGGATGACTGGAGATCGTGGGTAACCGAAGAGTCATATAACTATGTACTAATTTAATGTTAGTTACGTCTCTGTAATAAATTTATTCAGAGAACTGTGACATCACTTGTATGTTTATCAAAGCGTTTTCGCAAATACTTGTTTATTTGCTATCAAATTCCTCCATCTATTGTTCAGCCTTGTAACTTAACTCTGCTCATAATCATGTGAAAACTGAACATCGTAGTGATCCAAGTCGATCTGCAGACTCCTGTTTGTGCCAATATTGTTATTACCTTAGCTTTAAATTATCCTGTATTTTATGATTTGCAACCCTTATACTAATACCGATTCTCATAATTAAATGTAGCTTGTAAAGTACTGAATAAATAATCTGTCAAACTCACGATCCTTTCTAGAGTATCCTATTTGTTTTACGTCCTTTAAGTGAACTATCTGATTTTATTTAATAATACAGAGCAACTTTGGACACTCCAATGAACAGAAAATGGATGCCCAAAGCCGATCATTCATCTTGGACCGCGACAGAAAAAGTTGCAGAGTAAGCATAAATTGACTAGTTGCAAATATGTATTGAGCTAAAAACTTCGATTATTCAATTTTTTTTCACAATTTCAAGTGACTTTTCACAAAGCCAAGGAGCAAGCATGAATAGCTTATATAGATGATAATTACTAAACACCAGAGTCACATAAGAAACATGTCACAAATCCAAAAAGTTTTACCATCTTAGAACTAAAACCAAAGGGCCGATGTTTGGTCTATGGTATTAATATCAATTACATTTGAAACTTACCGAAATAATGTTTGATCTAACCAAACTTTCATATTCTTCAGTCTCTGAACACTACTGATCAGTAAATTAATGAAATGTAATGAATTTTAATAGACATAAGCACACTTGTTGTGTGTTTCGTATTCGTCGGTTGTACTTCAGAGATGAAGATTCCTTTTATTTAGTATTATTTTGAAGTTAACATCATAACTTCTAGCAGATTTTTCGAGTTTACCGGAGTTAGAATATTTAAATTCTGTGAACTAAAATGAATGATGACTATCTTTCCAATCGAGTGCCCAAAGCGGCATTTATTGCTCTGATTTTCCCTATGCCTTCGTGAACAGAAGTTCTAAATGAATTAATTAGTATTTTATTTATCATATTTACTATTGACTTCAAAATAAATCAAGTTTCGATCAATCACTTGTTCAACATGATTGATATAATCTATACAAATAATATTTTTAAAGACGAGATGAATCTGATAAACGAGGCACTGATAGGGAATGGAAATATATTAAAATCAGCAAACCATCGTAAAGACCAATATACTTTGAAATCTGTGTTTTTGTCTTCTGAATTCATTGTCTATGTCATACTACTACTATCCAAAGGTAAATCAAGTTGCCCTATCTCAAAATGAAGGTCGTAATTGATCATCAGTGGAAAGTACTATGCGGCAAGTCATTACCATTGATAATTAACGCTTATGCTTTACTGAAAAAAAAAACAGTATGTATGTGGTTGAGTTGTATTTCATTGTGCTTGCGAATTGATATGTATTTATGAATACACGCACCTGGACTCAAGTAACCATAACTCGCATGCTCCAATCGCTGAAAATGTATAAATATAACTACTCAAAATTAATGTTAATGTCCTCGCTAGTAAACAGTGTCGAGATAAATGCTCGAAGTTCTAGTGATAAGTAACTGTTGAAGCTCATCTATGTCAAAACTAAGTCATATCACAAATGAATGTGAATGGAGGTTATTAATATATTTACATATATGTATTTAAATCGACTGTAATTGAAATGTTTGCTGTTCAAATACTGATTGGGCAAGCAGTGTAAATCGTAATGATTTTGAGATCTGGAAAAACCGAATTTTTACTCCTGATAGTATAATGGTGCGCATTTCTGAGATGGTTATAATGAAATTAATGCTTCATGGTTTTTAATGGCTCTTCAGATAATGTCATTCCATAGTAAATGCTGACTACTCCTTTAATTCAAGGTAACCACTTTTATGTACTTTAGCTTATATGTTAGGGTACTAGTGTTCTCTTAAAATTTTGTATTAAACGGATGATTTCAATTGATAAATGTTCATACTTCTACTGTGTTATTTTCATAGATTGTTTACAACTTGGTTGGAAGAATCTAACAATCGTCCACAATCTGGAAGTATCATTCAATTAGTCACAAAAAATGGTATAACAGAATGTATTCCAGCTTAATTCAAATATAAGCATTTATTACGTTCATTCCTTAGAAGTCATTATTATAACTATTCCCATTTCCATCATGATGTAGTTTTTCCAAATGTTTGAAAAATTTCGGTCTTCGTTTTTTTTTTCAATAAAATTAAAATCATTTATCAATACTGAATAAAGATTGCTGATGGTTTAGATTTGATTGTCAGTGCGCAATCATTTTTATCATAACACTATCATAAATAAATATTTTAATGGTGCTTTGTTAATTTCTGATAGGAGACAATAAACACTACAAACTATTTTTCAATTTCTATGAAAACTATAGTGTGTACTTGGTAAAGAATAGTTTCATTGTTTTCTGTTAGATAGTTAGTTCTACATTATCATTGTAATGAAAATATTCTATTCATCTTATCAAGTTATCAGCCACACTGGATATGTCTCATTTTATGTACGTTAGACAAAAAAAGAACTATTGTCAGAAATAATATTTCCAGTATATATATGAAAGATAAAATTGCATTCGCACACTATCTGGTATGTGAGAAATAATTTTATCAATATTTCTTGTTCTAGATTTATGCATTGAAAACTCTCTTTCATCCAGTATTAATCATCACTATGAAGATCAGTAATTAAATTTGTAATTTTAATTAGGTTCATTGAAAGCCATTCTCGGTATCGTCCCGCTTTCATATTTTGAAATATGTGTTAAACGCTTAAAATCAAACTGTAACTTATTTGTTCAAACGTCAGATTATTATTTGAAACTTAAATCTAGCATCACTAACTTAGAATATCAGATTAGTTATCCGAACTGGGAATTAGTATCTACAAAATAAAGAGACTTTTCGTTTTCAGTATCAAATAACCTATCAATTCTTAACGTATTATTGAACATATAGAACCAGTATTAATATTATGTGAGATTTTATCATCAGAAAGTAAGATATACGGTCCTGTGTTTATTGAATTTATGATATGATATTTCCTGTTTAAAATCACAACAATCACCTGTAGGTTCACATTACTTAGGATTTTCATATGTGAACAAAACAATTCTTTAGTAACCGTCATTTTTCAGTGGTAATTCAACTGAGGTTGACTAACCGGAAAATTCAGATAAAACACATTTACCTATATCAATTTGTTGTTAGTGACTGCTAGCAATGTTTCATTTTTTCTTACCTCTTCTATGAAACCATTTCTAAACTTGTCACATTTGTGTAACAGCAAGCATTGATCAGAATTCTACTTCGATACTATTGATAAGTTGAGAAGTGGATTTCTCAACTCTTGCAAATATTAACGAAACTGTTGGTACTTGAAAATTTATTGGTCAATATACACTGTATCATTGTTTTAATCATCGATAACTTTGAGATTGTTTGCTTATCTGGTAGCTTCCACTACTCTCTAATTAGCATTTTATATAGAGCATTTCTGGTGGCAGATGCTAACTCATTTAAAGCTCACATTCTTTTCTAACAATGATCTGAATTCGATTTTGAGCTGAACTTCAACCGTCGGCTGATATATAACTCAAGGCTATTTCTTCTTAGTAATTCTTACTCATTAATTCAGTTCATCTCTAACATTGACAAGGCTCAATCTATTCCTCTCTTGATACAACACAGCGAGATCAAACGAGATGATGGGATTTTATATCTGTGTACTTAAACAACAGTTACACTTCTCAAAAATTAAGAATACATTGACATGTATTGATATTTTGTCTTAATTTATACATTGTCTAGAAGAAATCTTCACAGTAAGTTAGTTCTTCACTTTACCACTCATTCAGTTTATTATATTTTGGTCTTTATACTTTTGTCAGAATGGATGCAATGTAGAGTAGCTGGTATCAAGCATAATTGTTGACCTACACTTCGTCAGGTTTGTCCAGCGTTTCCATTACACAAATGACTCTGAAATGATTGACTCACATCGAAAACAACTCTGAAATAGATTATTTCCCAATACTTATACTAATTGTGAATTCTTTAGAATGGGAATATTACAAGTAGCAATTGCATTCGTAAAGATATACATTGAAAATTCTAATGTGATAGTATTTGTAGAATGATATTAATTCTTATCATATTTTTTATAACAAAAATACATGAGCATTAGAATCATGTCAGAGGATAGAAATAAAAACGAACGAGAACATGATTTTACTATCCATGAATAAATCAAAATGCTGTCTATTGTATCCAGTCATGTTTGCATGTGTGTGCATGTTGTATTTATTTGCCTAAATATACATAAAATTGTCTCACATGATGTAAAATGAAAGCATCAAATTGTGGTGGAATTCTTAGTGTAAGAATGAGAAATTTGATTGGGAAATAGGATGACTGAAATCTCATTATCGATGCACAAGCTTGTAGCTAAATAATGAAAAATGTCAATTAGTTGTTTACAAGCTGCTAGAAGCTTATTTTTAAAGCTATAAATTGTCATTTGTTGAGCGGATGAAACTTTAATTTTTTCCTAAGATAAGTTTATCAACTATTAAGTTCCTAGAATCAAAATTTTACTGAATGTACACAGACTAACCATTTTTGTACAGCATACATTGATGATGAGTACACAAACAGTTACACATACACGGAACGTTATAAAAAACCTCGAGTTTCTTTCGATCTCATGGTTGTAGGAATTTAGATGCATTTAATCTCTCATCTTTCTCAAATAAATAGTGAGCCATTCAGAAGAAGAATAATGGGAGTTCTGTTTGATAACTATCAGGAAATGTTCCAAAGACCGACACATGTCATCGGCTAGAAAATCGATTTCTCTTCTCGGGAAGCTAATGCATGGATATGCACACGATATTTGTTCTAATTATCCAATAGCCAAGTGGAACTCGTATTACCCGTTGAAATCATCATTAGAAGCCCGGAAGCACTGGATGGCCGTTTCATCATGGTATGGGGTTCATCAGTGCGCATCCACGACTGGTGGTGATACATCTTTAAGATGCACACATGGGGATGGTTTGGCGTGTTTAATATGGTGTACGCCATAAACAGATCGCCACTGATTCTCCTGTAGCTCAGTGAAAATAATCCCAAGAGCTGAATTCTATCGTCGTAGGGTTTACTTTTCAACCCTATCACCCATTTGGTTGCTCGTCTCTGCACTCGATCCAAGAGATTTATGTCTCTTTTAAGAAGAGGGGGTGTGATGACGTGAACTTCCAAGTGCGGCCGCGCTTACGTCTTAAACAGGGTTAAAAATAATTTCGGGGTGAAAGCACCAAGCTGTCTTCGCATAAAGTGGAGAGTCGCATTTGCCTTGGCTGCATCCCCTACATAGATTGGACTGGTGTAGAGGCTTTCTGTGGTTATCAAACCAAAATCGCGTTCTGAGTAGACGTCTTTCTGACGAGCTAGTATAAACTGAACTCGTATTACACGTTGAAATCATCAACCAATCATTTTTAGACCACAATTAGAAGCCTGGAAGCACTGGATGGCCGTCTCATCTTGGTATGGTGTTCGTCGGCAGTGCGCATCCACGACTCCTGCTATTCGCAGGATCCTAACCCAGGGCATTTGGTCTTGCGCGCGAACGCCTAACCACTGGGCCGGCATCCAACGGTGTTAATGTCTAAATCTGATCAATCTAGGAATTTTGCGCGACCTCTCCGGTTCTTCTTTGGTAGTTACTGTCTACACCCGACAGGGCTGAACTCGACAATCCTAAATGCACAGTTTGTTCTTTAAACCTATCACCCCTTTCATTTCTTGTCTCTGCTTTCGATTCAAAAGGTTTAAGTCTCTTCCATGGGGGCGGGTTATTTTTAACCTTCTGCTTAGATCATTGACGCCGAGCTAAATTTTTTCTAACAGGTCGCTTATCAAAATCAAGAAGGGGAGTTGAACTATGATGGTCCTATATGAATCGGTGTAGCCCATTTCCGCAACCTTCGCGATTAACAGTGCTCAACTACTGTGTCAAGGGCTTGTGCGAATTCAAAAGATATTATGTGCACTAGTATTTTTCGGTCCGAGCAGGATGTCCAACTGTCCCATGCTATGAGAAGATTGCATGAGCACAACCTGCTTTATCGAAACCTATGTTAAGATTAATGGAAATATTAGTTCTTATCCATGTACTCCCTCATTCACCTGTCCTTCCATTACCTTCGACAGTATTGTCTGGTCTCTAACAAACTTTATTCTTCTCATCTCCTCCTTTGAAGATTGGAGAGAGAGAGTAGCTTATTTCAATTCAGCTGAAAGCAGATGTGACTCCAGTGAATGCCTGAACAGGTTCGAAGACAATAGGGCGAATAGTATCACATCCCGGTGACTTTCCTGAGCGCAAGGATTTAAGATTTCTTAGTGCTCAGTTAGGAGTAAGTTTATTATTCCCTGGGACATAAGCTGGCAGTAGGACTGGGTAGTACTCTCAACGTGTAGGTACATGGTTTGACTGATTGGTGAAGTTGGTTTTCAAGATATTAACTATCTCTATGTTTGCAAGATCTCCGCCATTGGAACCTTTGACGGCACAAACACCCTAGTTCGTAGGTTTCCTTTTAGTCATAAACGTAAAGAGATAATTTTGGTTTGCCTGTATTCGGACAACGAGCTTTTCCGGAAATGCAT